GCAGAGTCCGTGAAGGGCCTTAGGAGAGCCCCGTAGGAGAGACACCCCAAGGCATTGCCAAGGATAAAGCACTGTTCTAGGCTCTGGGGATTTAGCAGTGAACAAAACAGACCCAAATCCCTGCCCTGACAGAGATCCAGGCCACAGGCAAGTGCAAGGGTAGGAACTTGTTTTCTCACATTTGGATGTGGATTTATTTGGAGCGCTGAACTGAGAATATTCAGAAATGCCCTCGGTTGGGGGAGGGGGCAGGGAGCAGGACGGCTTGCTATTCAGGGTGGTCACTGGGTCCCCCCCTGCTTGGCGAGGGTTGCTGACCAGGTCTGTCTGGCTGGTGACCTCAGGTTGGTTGGTGCTGACTTGGCTAGATTGTGGTTCCCTGAGTCCTTGGAGTCTCTTCCTGCCCTGGGTTTGACTGTAGCTCAGTCATCTTAGCTGAGACAGTCCTTTGCTTTGGGAAGGGAATCTTCCTGAATGCCACGAGCTAAGTTCTCTGGCACTGCACACCTTGTCTCCTTCCTGTGCTGGGCACCGTCTGCATGGGGCAGTGCTCCTCCCCACCCCCCCCCATGCCTGCCGCTCCCTCCCCTGCCCCTTGCTCTGGCTTCCTGTCTGTCTTCTTGCCTTCCTGCCCAGCAAACCTTTTCTGCTGTCATCCCCTCCCTCCTGCCCATTGCCATGCACCAGACATTGACCTCTCCCTGTTCCTGCCCTGGTTCTCACCAGCTCCCCAGATAGAGTCTGGCCAGCTCTCTACTCCTCCCACATTTTACTGTCCCTTTCAGAACTAGGACGCTGCCCCACTCTTGGAGGGAATACACTGGGTTCTTTCTGTGATGGCTGTTTCCTGGAGGTGATGGCCAGAGGGTGGACCCCTGGCATGGGGAAGGGGCTAAGGCAGGGTTTCTTGACCTCTATCCACATTTCTGGCTGGGTAGTTCTTTGTGGTGGGAGACTGTCCTATGCATTATAGGTTTTTTGCCAGTAACCCTGGCCTCTACTCACACAGCAGTAGGAGCCCCACACTCCAAGTTGTGATGGCCACAAGTGTCCCCAGATGTTGCCAGGTGTCTGCAGGGGGGCAACATCACTCTGGGTTGAGAACCACCGGGCAGGGACATGAGAGCATCATGTCTCAGGCTTGGCTAAGCCCGTGCTGGCAGGGACCTGAAAAATTCTCTAGTCCAAATCCCACATTTTAAAGGAAATTGGGCCTCAGAGAGCTAAAGAATTGTAAGGTCACACAGGGGAGCAGCATGATGAAAGCAGCTTCTTAGAAAAAGGATTCAGGCAGCTCTATGTTGGCTGGGCTGAAAAACAGGCCAGAGGCAGGCAGGGGAGCAAGGCTGGGACCGGGCTTGAGGCAGGGGCTAAGGCCGTGCCTTTTACCGGTCGGCCCAGGCTCGGCATGCACTGGCCGGTCTCCTGACGTCGGGTACAGAAGGGGCTCCACACCAAAGGCGGGCCAGGGAGCCAGGTCTGGGCCCAGCCTGGCAGTGCCATGGCCTTGCTGTCCTAATCTGTAAACTCAGGGCCTGATTGGCCATGTTTTCTTCCCACCTGGAGGCTCTTGTCCCTGAGTGCACTGAGATCCCACAAGGCCTCATTCACTGAGCTAGCCCCCTTCACCCCAGGGCTTAAGTACACGCTGTGTGTGGGGACTGCCCCACCTGGAGGCAGCAGGTCTCACCTGGGGTCTAGCCTGGGGTGTGGTGGGACCTCAGACAGGAAGTGGGAAAGGAAGCACGTATGGGGACAGAGCCACAGTGCTGTTCTCTTACCGTGGTAGAGGGAGGCTGCTGGGTGGGACTTTGGGAAGCTTGCCGACCAACTCAGAGAATATGAAGCAAGATCATAGAACCATTTTGAGAGGGATGACCAGGTCCTGGGAATTTCTGAACTGTTGAGGTTTTCCCAGAGAGGGGCTCCTGGACCTCCCGGCAGTTCTCCCCAGGAGGGAGATGGAGAAAAGAGGTAGAGAGGGCCCCCGCCAGGCCCATGCCCAGTGGGCACTGGCTTCCAGAAAAAGCTGCACTGTGACTGAGGAGGGTCTTGGGGGCCCTGGTGTCCCCACTGCAGGGTGGTAACGGCATCTTGCCGCTCCGGGGGTCCCACAGCCAGGTCTCTTTAACAGCAGGCTCCTCTACCTGCAGTGAGTGACCTGGCAGCCATGGGGTTTCCTCTCAATCATTCCAGGCTCTGGCTTTTAGAGCCATAAATCTTCAGCATGAAGATCATGAATTTCCATGGTATGATTAATGAAAGAAAAATTGAGACGGCAGTATAGGAACTGACCAGATTGAAAAAAAGTCAGTATGAGAAGTTGGATGGAAGTTTCAGAGCTTCTGACCCAGCCTGGAGCGCCACCTAGTGGTTACAGGGGTGGTGGCAACCATCCCCCCCCCCCCCCCCCCGCCCCCTGCAAAGCTTGGCGGGTACTCCATTGGCTGGGTGTTCTAGGCCTGAGTGTGCCCATACCTGGGGAGCCTTGATGTAGTTCCACTGGGACTGCTCCCAGGTGCAGGAGGCGCAGGACCGCTCCATGGTGTGGGGGACCCGGGAACCTGCTCCACTTCCTCCTGTTCCTCCCCGGCTCCTTGAACCATCTCTGGCTTAATAATACATGGGAATGCCTGCACTTCTTCCATCATGCCCTATCTGGGTCACCTTTCTGGTTCCTCATTTATGAAAATCCTACTCATCTTTTAAATCCCAGCAAGTCCTGTCAATCCTACCTTACAGATAAACCTCCTTGTACTGCTGTTCACCACTCTTCCAGAGCCACCTGGTGTAGGTCACCCCCAGCTCTTGCCTGATCCCTGCCGTGGCCTCCTGATTGCGCCCTGGGCTTCCCCCTTTGCTCTCTGGTGGTCTTCTCTGAGCAGCAGTCTCAGAGATCTATTGGAAATATAAACCATGTCACTCTCCAGGCCTAGGGGCATCCCACCCTGGTTTTCTTAAGTGATGCCTGCAAGGTCTTGTCTCATCTGACCCCTGCCACCCCACCTACTGGTCCCCCACCACTGTCACCTCCTCCACTCTGTTGCAGCCACCTGGGCAGCTTGCTTCTCCCTGGGCTGGCCAGGCTCAGTCCTACCTCAGGGCTTCTGCACCTGCTGTTCCCTCTATCCAGAACATCCTTCCACCACTTCCCCTCTTTATTTGGGTCCCTACTCAGATGCCACCATCCCTGACCACTCTGTCCCCTGAAACTTTCTAACTCGTGGCCATCCTCATTTTCCTTCACGGCACGTACCATCACCTGAGATTCTATCACTTGTTCGCTTATGTAGCATCCGTGTGCTCTGTAAGAATAGCCTGTTCGTGAGTGAGGCGGGGCGGGGTAGGGGGGAGTTGCCTGTGCTGCTACCACCTCCACCCCAGCACTCAGAACGGGCCCTGGCACTTACTACATGGGTGCTCTGTTTGGGTTTGTGGACTGCATGAGGGAAGAAAATGCCACCCCTGAGGGGCAGCCTGTGCCTCTCCCCCTCAACCTCCAGGCATGCATGTGAGAACTGCTCTCCCCCTACTCGTGAGCCGCCTTGTCTTCGCTGGGCCATCTGTGTCTCCCCTCGGAAGCCAGAGCAGCTCGAGAGCAGGGATGTGCTTGGTTCCTGGGGTCATGGCACAGCCCCGGGCACATGGGAGCTGCTCAGCAAATGCCTTTCGGAGACCAGCACCTGGTCATGGCCATGCACTTCACATGCTTTCTTCCATTTAGATTCTCCCAACAGTCCAGAAGGTGAAGGCAGGCGGTGTCATTCTCATTGGGCATAAAAGGAGTTTGCAAGGTCGCACTACCAGGAAAAGCCGGAGCCAGGTGTCAGATCCACATCTGTACCTCCTGAGCCCTTACGTGTATGCTTTTGCCCTGCGTGGAATGTTGTGGTCCCCCACCTGCCCCAGGTCCAGCCGTCCTCTAGAGACTGCCTCCTCCAACTGACATCTTGGGCCAGGACAGTGGTTGCCTCCTCTGAGAACTCCTGAACTATTTATTTGGCACCAGTGTATACTGCGTGGGGTCGATGCTGCTTTTTTATTGTTCCTGTCTATGCAGCACAGAGGTCCCAGGAAGGCAGGTCTCGAAAGAGGCTGTGGCTCTTCTGGCACAGGATGCCGCAGCCTTCGGTACTCAATAAATACCGGTTGACAGATTGATTGGCTCCTCAGACTCCGCATATTTCCTCAGAGCTGCCGGAGGGAGCGGGGTGAGTGTCAGCTATACGGAGCATAAAATAAGGCAGCTGTGGAGACCCGCAGCCAGTGAAACCCAAGCGTCCCCAGGTGAAGCGGTGGCGTCGCGGGCCCAGGGGGGCCGTGGAGGAGAGTCGGTTTTCGGGGCCAGAGCGTGGGCTGCGGGCTCACATGGATGGAAGGTGAAGGCAGTGATGGATTCTCATGGCCTGCATGTTGGCCAGCCCGTTGAGTTCCTTTCACCTTCCATCTGTGGGAAATTTGTTCTTCAGGCTCCTGAGAATAGTGGGCAAATGGCCCTGCTGGACAGGGCAGGAGGATGTGGTCGCTGGAAGGCCTGGCCCTGAGAAACCGGACTCAGAGAGTCTTCCTGGCCCCAGAGACGAGTCTTTACTCACCTTCCCTGGGCACCACGCTCCTCCTCCCACACTCCTTCCTGAATGCCAGGGCCTCTCCACTGACAAGTGGGGTAACCACAGCCACTCATGTGTGTCTGGGACCGTCAGTGTTTGTTACAGGATTTTGCCTGTGTCGTTTAAAATTTGATCCTCAGAGTGACCCTAGGAGGTTTGTGAAGCTGGCAGGGTGCCATTTGCCAGATGCGGAGACTGAGACGTGGAGAGGCTGAGGGTTTGTCTGGGCCTCAGAGCCGACACGATTAGGGCCCGTGGCCCTATCTGACCTATAGCCCCGTTCTCCCCCTTTCCCAGTCTCAGAGTTGGGGGTGGGGACATGCAGCCTTTTGGGTTCCATGGAGATGAACACAAAGCGGTGCTGATCTAATGGCTTTCTTTTCTCTCCAGCTCTGTGGCTGTGGGCTGCTCGGAGTGGGCATTTGGCTATCCGTGTCCCAAGGCAACTTTGCCACCTTCTCCCCCAGCTTCCCCTCGCTGTCTGCAGCCAACCTGGTCATCGCCATAGGCACCATTGTCATGGTGACAGGCTTCCTCGGCTGCCTGGGGGCCATCAAGGAAAACAAGTGCCTCCTTCTCAGTGTAAGTGAACTCCATACCCGCAGCCCTCTGAACACCCTGCATCCGGGTCACGGAGACAGGCAAGGCCTGAGACGACCGCTAGCCTATTAGATGCCCGACAGAAACTGCTTCTAGGATGTTCTCTGCCCGACCACACCCCTCTTCCTCACGATCGCGTATCCCGGCCCTAGTTGTCCCTTCTACTCCTCGATTGGCTGTCTCCTTCATCTGCCTCCCTTAACTATCAGGGACTCCTCAGGAGCCGTAGCTGGCCTCTCCCATACCTGGGAAGCCCTGTCTAGGTGCTTCCTGTCCCCAGCTCCCCTAGCCCTTGTGTGCACCCCATCCCTGGCCGTGACCACCACCGTGTGCCCACACCGACACTCTCTCTGCAGTTTTTCATCGTCCTGTTGATCATCCTCCTGGCAGAGTTGATCTTGCTCATCCTCTTCTTTGTCTACATGGACAAGGTAGGCCTTACAGGAAGGGAGGGGTATGTGGGGTGGCAGTGGGCTGGAGTCAGGACAATCCAGAGGAGAAGCATGGACAGAGAGTACCTATGAGGAAGGGAGGAAGGAGAATGGCAGCAGGAGAGCTGGGAGAGGTCCAGATGAAAGGCTTTTGGTAGGGGGGAGCATGGGGAAGGTGACTTTGAGGGGAGTGTGGGGGGTTTATTACCTGTGTAGTCTTAGGAATCCTCTGGCATTAGTGAGCTGCCCGTCACCGGGAGCATTCAAGCATAGTTGTGTGGAGCACTCAGAGAAGGGACTCAGGGGCCTGCCCTCTACCCGACAGGTAAATGAGAACGCCAAGAAGGACCTGAAAGAAGGACTATTGCTGTACAACACAGAGAACAACGTGGGGCTTAAGAACGCCTGGAACATCATCCAGGCTGAGGTGAGGGGCTGGGCCTGGCAGGGCGGGGGGTGGGGGGGCGCGGCTCAGACTCACCCTGGGTGACCGAGGATGCATCTGGAGAGGGACAGGCAGCTGAGGGAAGGAGGGGGAGCAGGGCATGGGAGCGGGAGCGGTGACGAGTGCCTAAGTGGGTACAGGGGACCAGGGAGGACAGATAATCTAGAAGAGCAGATCATCCAGGCCCTTCTTTTCTGAAGCTTTGGCATGGATGACAGAGTTTGTTGCCCTGATTATGGGTCAGGCAGGAAGGCCTTGATTCTAAGAGGGGAACAAGTCAGAGGTCCCTCGTTAAGCCCTGGGGAGGGGCCGGCAGCCAGCTTGGGACGATCCACAAAGCAGAGGGGTGGTGGGCAAGCAGAGAGCACTCCTGCCTGGTGTCCAGTGCCCAGCTCAGGGTGGCAGGTGGGTGTTACCTTGTCTGCACTCTGGCCTCCAGGAAGGGGCCGTCACTTCCCTTTAGGGCCCAGCTGAGGCCCCAAGAAGGAGGCCTTTGTCTCTCCTCTGCTGAACCGCAGGGAGGCAGCTTTCGTGGGGCCAGGATGGTCTAGGCAGGGGGAGGCACAGAGGAGGCCCGCGGGCAGTGACGTGTCTGACCCGGTGCCTTCCCACCTGCAGATGCGCTGCTGTGGCGTCACCGACTACACAGACTGGTACCCAGTGCTGGGGGAGAACACAGTGCCCGACCGCTGCTGCATGGAGAACTCCCAGGGCTGTGGGCGCAACACCACCACCCCTCTGTGGAGAACGGTGAGTCTGGAAGCTGCTTCCCCAGGTCCCCCTCCCAGAAGCTGGTGTGGAGGACAGTCTGGCAAGAGGACACCTGCAGGGGAGGGTCGCCTGGGACAGGAAGGAACTGGCTTAACGGAAGGTGGGGTGGGGGACGCGCAGGACCGAAGCCAAAAGGCCGGTGGCCAGTGGGAGGGCTGGGCCTGAAGTCGGGAGTGTC